CAACCAAGTGAACCTTTCTCATCCTCAAACAGTACAAGGCCCCACTCTACGGTCCATGCAAATGGTCACGTGCGAACTTGAAATAATTATGGCTTTCTTTCTACGGCAATTTCGTCTTCATTTCTTGGAAGGAAAAGAGGAAAGGATTTTTTCTGCTGTTAGCTCGTCGACCTAAGGCTCCGAAGCTTTTGAGGACCTATGATTGATCACCTTCTGGTCTTTTTTCCCTACTCTAATTCTCAAGATGTTTTACAAAATTAGATAATACAAGCCTGGTCTGTTTATCAGCCTCGAAATCTTCCCTGCACCCTTGTTTTAGTTCTTAAGGCGATGATTTTTCCTTTTGCTGAGTCGTGGAGCTTTTTTCTGCATATGGTGAGTTTTAACAAAACCAAAACGAATTCCACTAAAAGTTCTCAACAAACTTCGCGACAATTTATGTATCCAATGGACATTTGTAGACCTTGAGAACGGCAGAAAATTAATGAATGGCATATCACTTTGCACATTATTTCCTATTTTTTTGTTACTTCCGTACCAATTCTCAAAACTGCATAAAATTCACAACGGAAGTCCATCAATGTCTCTATTGTGAGCAAAATTGGATAATGTAATCACGAACTTTTCAAATGTGAGAATAAAGAAAAGGCCTATCATTTGAAGCGCATTTTTTAAAGAGAAAATTAGCTTAGAAACTTCATTTTCCTCAATACCAATTGGGACCTCAGATGCAGTAAAGGTCAAGCTAACTCGAATGCATGGATATTGCCTTGCTAACTATTTTGGCGTTTAACGCCATTTGTATGAATGTGTAGTTGGCTACCATCTCTTATCAATGACATTTTCCGAAGCGGAATATGTCATTGATATCGCAAAACGCGGAATTAAATGTATGAGGGATGGTTACAGATTTTTGAACAGTCCCCGTGCTTCCTGTCATGAATCGAATTGTTCAATGGAATTAAAATCTTGCAAGGTTTTTCTTAATCACGTCCTTTTGTAATCTCCCAAAATTCTCAAAAACTGGTTTAATTAAGGTAAGCTTCAAAAAAAGGATCTCACTATGTCATCTGGTTCAGGATGCAGTGAAGAGAGATCGTGATGATACAGGTAGTTTCCGACCTAAAAATTACTTCATCTCTTTCCAAAAATTATTAGGGGACTGTGTTTGAAGGCAAACCTCTACAGCAATCTGCACTGATATTTCTCTTATGTTCTTCAGACGTGGATAGATCCGAGCATATTTGAAGAGTGATTTTTCTGACACCAATGTCGCCACTTTCTTAAAAAATTTCTTTCAAATTTATAGGTAAGACTAAGGAAGGAGAAGAGAGAGAGGGAGAGAGGAAGGGGAGAGGGGCATGATATGTGGACGTACCCTGGCAGCTAAGAGGAAAATCCTGTCTGGAATATGTTTTGCCTTGAACAGCACGGCTCCAAGACCAATTCCAGGGAATATGTAAGCATTGTTTCCTTGACCGGGTTTGTAGACTTTTCCATTCAACTCGACATTTTCAAAAGGTGATCCGCAAGCGTACAGCACTTTTCCCTAAAATTACGCTGACTGCTTGGCATAGATGAATTACAAGTAGTCATCGCTCACATTTGTATATTTGTAGGCTTGTTCTGCTGTGCATTCAGAATTTTTCGTAGGATTCGAAAGTGAGAAGATGATTGGGCGCTCGTTGATTTTTGCCATTTCTTTGATGACTTCTTTGGTGAACGCACCACCTTTGGTCGAAGCTCCTTAAAACTTGAATTAAAAGCCAGAAGACTCGTTTTCTCAAAAGTTGAAAGATAGCAGTAATAGGAATGATTATCTTGAACTCTTATTAACTCTCGCAAATAGAAAAATTTGATGGTTTGAAAAATTTTTAAGATGGGCTTCTTATAAAATTAGCTTCAAGTTACGATACTGTTTGGTTATAAGAACTGTTTCAACAGCGCAGCTACAATATGTTTCCGAAAGCGGTAAAGTAGAACTCGTAGCATACCAGCTCGATTTTTGAAGTAGGCTTATCTGTCTACTAGGGAGCAACAGAAACCTTTTCGCAAGTTCTTCTTACCATTTAATCGTCGAAACTTATTAGGAATTTGTAGCACAAAGTTGATATTGTGCTCGCGCTTGTCTCCACAGGCAGTAGCGTGGGAATAGCGCGATTTTCAGCTGTTAACGTATGCAAATTTACAGTGCTCCACATAACTTGGGGTCACAATAACACAAAACCCACCAAAGTTATAAACCTATAATCGACACGGAGCAAGACAGCGAACCCGCTGCGGATCAACGAGGACGCGGTTTTCGCGCTGGCGCAGAGATACAAGATGATCCAATCTCTATTTCGTGCCAGCGAATAAGTCGCGTCGTTGCCAAATCTGTGGCACCATGGCAGTGTCATGCTCCTCACAATTAGATACGCAAGCCAACATTTCCATGAGACATCTTTGGAATCATATTCCAAATACTTAAATTGCCCGTATATAACATCAAGCTGATAGGTTGAAACTCTCTCTTTGTTGTCTTGGTAAACCATAAACTCATAAAATACTTTTTTTGCAAATTAACAGCATGCATATACGGTGACAAATGGAAAGAAAATCGCATCACACGAGTGATTTTGCTAGGCAAAAACAAAGATAAAATCGAATACTCTAACGAGGTGGCTTGTAAAAACA